AGCTATATATTCTTAACCTGCATATCTCCAATCGTTAATGCTGTAAATTAGAGGTTAGGTTGAGGAGCGGTAGTTTTTTTTTGTAACAACCAAATTTAGACAAGAATACTTATGTTGATCAGATGTATTTCTGAGGTATTAATATTTTAGATCTACGTCTACCAAAGATGGATCTATTGTGTTGATCCAAAGCGCATGTACACATTTGGTACTTCATTGGATAGTTGCACTGAAGCTAATGGTGAAGTAGACATAGCATCTGAGGCTCATGCTGCGGGCGAACAAACAGATCAGGAGACGAAAAGATAATCTCCTTTTAAAACTTTACTTCTTTTCTCTGATTGTTTCTTTATTATCTTGTTTTGCTACGAATTATCAATATATTACCAATAAGATTAATAAATCATCAAAAAATTGATTTCATCATTGCTGCGTTTGTAACGAAAAGGCAGTGAGTTCCAGCGACTGCGTTGTTTTACTTAATAGAATCTATATCTTCTTGGGCTACTAACTATGATCTCAGTCATTTACGACTACCTAAAAGGAGCGAATTTCATTTTCACTTTTATGATTAGTCGCATTAATTGCCTTTTCAAATGCTTACCCTACAGAATCTCGCTGTGGATGTGTCTAGAAATATTTCTATTTTCACTCTCAGCGTTCGAGAAATCCTCGTCTCTTCTCGAGACTGAGAATTTCTTAGATTTTTTTGTCGTGTATGAAAAGGAATGATTAAGAAATCGCGGTAACTTAAAACTAGGGAAAATTGCAGTTACGGGATATGTAGTGCGAAAAAAGGTGTATGCCTAACAAATAGAACGAGTAAGAACCGTGCCGCAATGGTTTCTAGTTCTCAGTTTCGATATCGTTAGGGTGGAACACATTGTTTGTGTTCCGCGAATTTTCACGTTGAGGTTTTGTGACAATTTATATAAAAGTGCGCGCAGCTGCTCTTGTGAGGCTATAGTGGCTATTTCTCCTAATGAACGTGGAAGACCGCGAACGAGTTAATGCTTTCCCGCTTTATTCCTTATTTTATAATTAAATAGCTTTGAAGTTTTCACACATCGTAATTGTTCGAACCTCAGCAAATCTTAAACCGTTAGAGCAGCTGAAGACAAATCGGTTGGTCGTTTGGTTATTGAGTAGAATGGCGGTAAATTTCCGTTATGCTGTGCAGTTCTCAAAAATAATTCAGCCTTTTTCTATTATGAAACATATGCCTATCTCAGACTGCATCTGTGCAAGTCGA